AATGATACTGAAATTCACATGGAGGCACAGGAGACCTCGAATAGCTAAAGCAATCTTGTACAACAAAAACAAAGCCAGAGGCATCACAATACTAGATTTCAGGACATACTACAGGGCAGTTATAATCAAAACAGTATGGTACTGGTACAGAAACAGATGGATAGACCAATGGAACAGAAATAGAAACACCAGAAATCAATCCAAACATCTACAGCCAACTTATATTTGATCAAGGATCTAAAACCAACTCCTGGAGCAAGGACAGTCTATTCAATAAATGGTGCTGGGAAAACTGGATTTCCACATGCAGAAGCATGAGCAAGACCCCTACCTTACACCTTACACAAAAATCCACTCAACATGGATTAAAAACCTAAATCTATGACCTGACACCATCAAATTATTAGAGAGCATCAGAGAAAACCTGAAAGATATAGGCACCGGCAAAGACTTCTTGGAAAAGACCCCGGAGACACAGGCAGTCAAAGCCAAAATTAATTATTGGGATTGCATCAAATTGAGAAGTTTCTGTACTGCAAAACAAACAGTCAGGAAAGTGAAGAGGCAACTGACAGAATGGGAAAAAATATTTGCAAACTATGCAACTGATAAAGGATTAATAACAAGAATCTACAAAGAGATCAAAAAACTCCACAAAAACAAAACAAACAACCCACTTAAAAGATGGGCCAAGGACCTCAGTAGACATTTTTCAAAAGAGGAAATCCAAATGGCCAACAGGCACATGAAAAAATGTCAAGATCACTAGCCATCAGGGAAATGCAAATCAAAACCACAATGAGGTTTCACCTGACCCCAGTTAGAATGGCTCACATACAGAAATCTACCAACAATAGATGCTGGAGAGGATGCAGGGAAAAAGGGACACTAACCCACTGTTGGTGGGAATGCAAACTGGTAAATCCACTATGGAAGACAGTTTGGAGATTCCTCAGAAACCTGAATACTGCCATACCACATAACCCAGCCATCCCACTTCTTGGAATTTACCCAAAGGAAATGAAATTGGCAAATAAAAGAGCTGTCTGCACCTCAATGTTTATTGCAGCTCAATTCACAATAGCCAAGACCTGGAACCAACCATCAACAGTAGACTGGGTAAAGAAATTATGGGATATGTACTCTATATAATACTATATAACAGTAAAAAACAATGAAATCCGGTCATTTACAACAAAATGGAGGAATCTGGAAAACATCGTGCTGAGTGAAATAAGCCAGTCCCAAAGGGACAAATATCATATGTTCTCCCTGATCAGTGACAACTATCCAAGCACCTAAAAGGAAACCTGTTGAAGTGAAATGGACACTATGAGAAACAATGTTTTGTTCAGCCCTGTCCTGACTGCTCACGAACAACTTACTACTTTATTCCTTTTAGTATTTTTTGTTCTACTTAATACCATTGGTTGAACTCTTTAATTAACACGCAATTATTCTTAGGTGTTTAAACTTAACTGAAAAGTGATCCCTGTCAAATATAAGGGTGGAAATAAGAAAGCGAGGAGATATATAGTTCAGCACATGTTCCCTCGGACTTACCCTAATGATAGAGCTACAAATGTTCCAGGTGATACCAATTCAATCCTATCAAGGAAGCATATACTAATTCCATCTTACTTGTTAAAGTGATCAGTTTAAATTCAGAATTGATCATAATGATAGTATTAAGTGTCAAAGGGATTACATAAATAAGACCAGTGTGTGCAAATAATAATTGATAGAATTAAAAAGGAGATAATGATCCTACATGAGAAGCAGGATACACAGCAGACTCGTAGAATAGCAGATGTCCTAAACAGCACTCTGGCCTCAGAATCAGCCCTTAAGGCATTCAGATGCAGCTAAAAAGCCCGTGACAGTATTTCAGGCCTGGAAAGACAAGACACTGTGGCAAAAAAAAAAAAATGACCTAAATGAAAGATCTCTGTGAGTGAGATCCCAGTGGAAAGACCAGGCCATCAATGAAGGAAGTACCTTTCTCTGAAGGGAGGAGAGAACTTCCACTTTGACTATGGCCTTGTCTAAATAAGATCGGAGTTGGTGAACTCAAGAGGCTTCCATAGCCTTGGCAGCTCATGACAAGAGCCTTGGGTGATTACTGACGTCCTCAATAAGAGTGTCAATTGTTAAATCAACAACGGGAGTCACTGTGCACCTCTCCCCATGTAGGACCTCTGTCCTTAATGTGTTGTACTATGCAAATTAATGGTAAAACTACTACTCAAACAGTACTTTATACTTTCTCTGTGTGGTAAAGTCTGTTGAAATCTTTGCTTAATATATACTAAATTGATCTTCTGTATATAAAGATAATTGAAAATGAATCTCGATGAAGAATGGGATGGGAGAGGGAGTGGGAGATGGGGGGGTTGCGGGTGGGAGGGAGGTTATGGGGGGAAAGCCAGTATAATCCAAAAGTTGTACTTTGGAAATTTATATTTATTAAATAAAGGTTGAAAATAAATTAAAATAAAATAAATTTGGAAAATTAAAAATAGATATTACTCAAACCACTTTTCCTTCATACAGAATTCAAAAACTTTATCCTGAACTATGAGCAATGAGAATCTTCAGGGACTACGCAAAACTGTTAACCTAGACAATTCTTTGAAATTCTAGAATATAAGTCTTACAAACTTAACTTTTACAAGTTCCTCTTGGTTTCGATGGCTGAAATTTATTAAGAGACAAACCTTGTCTGCTTTGTAAAAAACACTGGGGTTGAGGGGAATTGGGCATTGCTGGATTAAAGGAGCAGAAAACATGCTGCCTCAACCATTGCAGCAAGCTGTAAATGATGTATGAAATGACAAATCCCTTCCCAAGGCACAGAAAGAATATAAATACTGCTCCGTGATCATTGCAGTGATAGGCTATTTGCTAAAATTTTCTGCCTAGGTGAACCCAGAAAAATCTCACCTCGTCTTCAAATCCAAAAGAACCAAATGAACCAAAATGAAATTTTATTATTTTACTGTACATAACAACTTCCCACTTTTCTTTTTTTCCTAACCTCTAAAGACATGTTTTTTGCCCATAGTATATGTACCTGCCTTGCTCCTTACACCAACAAGAAGTTTCTATAACTAAGAAGTTGGTGTAATTAATATTTGCAATTTAAAAAAGAAAATTTATTATATAATATGGAGATATCAAAAAGAGATTCTATTCTAGAGTTAACCATTTCTCCTTTAACCCAGGTTTCATTTGAATACTAAACTTGTACTCCAGCTGCATGACTTTGCAAATTTTTTGAAAGTTCTCTGAACCTTAGTCTTTTCCTTTGTGAAATGAAGGTATGATTAACCCCCCAGAAGCGTGCAAATTAAATGGACATAAGAAATGAAATCCCTGCCATGACATGAAAGAGGTCCTCGTGAAAGGTGAGTATTTTCTCTCCTTTTCATGGTGGAGTCCCTGTTCTGGCATGGAAAGGATCCTTCATTTCAGTCTGGATGTCTTGGGTGAGGGTTTTTTACTTTTTAATTTATGAAACTCACTTGACTTTTTTGAATAGATGCTAGCTAACTTTAATGAAAATAGATACTGGTTTTCTGCTATTAGAAAAGCATACACTTTAAGCTAAAACATCAAAGAAAAGGACAAGCTATAGTGAGCATAAATGATCATATCACAATAAAAAGTACACACATGCACAATACCCAAGTTTCTATGAATCTTTCCTTTGGGGAGAGGAAGAGCCATGCTGCTGACTTACTCTCACATTGTGATATGAGAATTTTCTTTGGTCAGTTTCTTCAAGGACATATTTATTAGAAGTATCTTATAATAAATTACAAGATGTTCTCTGAATGCAGAGGTAAAAGATGAGCACATTGGAATTAGACTCCAGGATACCTGATTTTTACATTTCAAATGAAGCTGTAATTTGTCTTTGTCTTTCTTGGTATTCTCTACATTATGCAGATGCCCTACTTATTTCTGGAAGTTGATACTGAGTATCAATCCTATGCCAGACTAGTTTTCCCTTCAGGAGCAAGGCACATTTAGAAAAAAATGAAGGCTTAATTTCGACTACATTTCAAATAATAACCAAGACTTCTGAAAATCTTTAGAACCTTTTCCTAGTAGATCATATTGTAATGAGCTAACTGAGTCAGAGGACTTGCTCTGTGCTATTAACATCAATCCCCATCAAAGTTCTGCTTTCTTTTTTTTTTAAAGATTTCTCTATTTGAAAGTCAGTTACACAGAGAGAGAAGAAGAGGAGAAAAGGAGAGGGAGGGAGGGAGGGAGGGAAGGAGGGAGAGAGGGAGAGAGGGAGGGAGAGAGGGAGGGAGGGAGGGAGAGAGAGAGAGAGAGAGAGGTCAGTCTTCCATCTGCTGGTTCACTCCCCAATTGGCTGAAACAGCTGGAGCTGCGCCGATCCAAAGTCAGGAGCTTCCTCTGGGTCTCCCACATGCGTGCAGGGGCCCAAGCATTTGGGTCATCTTTTACTGCTTTCACAGGCCATAGCAAAGAGCTGGCCCAGAAGTGGAGCAGCCGGATCTCAAACTGGCGCCCATAGGGGATGCCAGCACAACAGGTGGTGGCTTTACCCACTATGCCACAGCACCGGCCCCAAAGTTCTGCTTCCAAATGAAGTGAATTCCTACTCAAGCTCCATACACATAGAAATTAGGTAATCACCAGAGGAAAGCAAAGTAATTTTCAAAATCTAATTCAATTCATTTAATAACTAAAGAAAAATCAATCTTGCCAAGAAAAAGAGAAAAATATATATTAAGAAATAATAGGTTTGATTGCCTACTAGGAAAAAATATTAATGTTCAGTAAGATTTGAAAAGAGAATGAGGTCAATGCATTTTGATCCTGTGGCAATATTTTGAAGCTTACTTTCAACCTATTCTAATTTACATTTCCAAATACAATGAAAGTTAATGTATGCAGAAAGCAACACCAGTAGGAATTCAAGTATTTCATGTTCCCCACTGTAATGATGATTTGGATCTTACTTTTTCTGAAAGCATCTTTAAAGAATTCTTCAAGCTGTCTGGAGAATGCTGGCTCGCAGAATTAAGCAGTAGGTCTGCATGGGTTGCTATAAGAGGTTGCAGCTGATTGATGTTGCTGAGAACTTCCTTTGCTTTGGCTGTGTTTTCAGGAGAGTAGTAAATAAACTGATATCCAGTACTGCAAAAACAAAGACAATGGCAAGTTACGCACACCTCCACACACAAATAAAGAATTTGTAGCCCATGAAACCAGATGTTAAACAATAAACAGAACCTCAAATATCATCACTCCCTATTGAACAGATAAGAACTATTCCAAGACAGTTTTATGACACCCTATCCATTTTTTTAGCAAAGTATATTTAAAGACTAGGTACAATAATCCAGTCCATTTTTCCAAACACTATGAAGGTTTTGTCAGATTCTACATATCAAGTATTAGTATTCAAAACACCTTAGTATTAATATAAATAATAATGAAATTGAACCACATAGTAGAGAAGCAGAAGCTTTTATATTTGAACCAATCTCAACGTAAGCATTGTCTTTCTACTTACTAGCTGGTCACCTTGGACAGTCTTCAATTTCCTCAATAGGGAGGTGGGAATAATTGTCCAAATAATTCTATAAGGCAGGTGAGATTAGGGGTCAACTCATACAAAGTGATCTAACATAGTGCTTAGGATACAACAAGCATTCAATAACTCTTAGATTTATTTTCTTCCATGATACTGGGCAAGATGGAATGAGGGAAGTAAGTATTAATGGCTGAGAAATGGAAGAAAAATAAATTAATTCTAAGTGGGCACATGAATAATTTTATTGTATTAAAACATATAGCTTTGGGGCTGGCACTGTGGCACAGAGTGTTAAAGCCTGGGCCTGCAGTGCCGACATTCGATATGGGCGCCAGTTATTATCCCAGCTGCTCCATTTCTAATCCAGCTCCCTGTTAACACTCCTGAGAAATCCCTGACCCATATGGGAGACCCAAAAGAAGTTCCTGGATCCTGGCTTCAGATCAGATCAGCTTCATCCATAGTGTCCATTTGGGGAGTGAACCAGCAGATGGAAGATATCTCTGTGTCTCCACCTCTCTCTGTAATGCTGTCTTTCAAATAAATAAAATACATCTTTAAAAAATATAGCTTAAAATTTCATTATCTGATTCTTATTCTTTTTGTTCTTTGTGGTTTCTGACCTTTGTAAATAAATCTAAAATTGATTATTCATTAAAGAATTATTAAGTCTTATTATTTAGAAACTTGACAAGTATGCTATGAGAACAGATTCCATAGAGTGAATACAACTTTGACTAACTCCCTTAGGAAAGATGAAGGAAGCATTCTAGCAGGGAAAGGAGAAAAACAGTGAAATTTTGGCTACTTGGAAGAGGTAGGTCATGGTTAAGGCTCTCACATGATTGGTACAAACTTGTTTACATCCCTATACATTCAACTGTCAAAGCATTTTTAATAATATCTTGCAGCCTATGTTGAGTATTTATTGAATATTTCTTCTACATTTAACAGCTGAGTTATGTAAATTCCCATAATTCGAATTCTCATTTTGAACATTAGAGGCCAATAAGAAAAAATTAATGTCTAGGAGGCAAATCTCTCCTCTTTCTTTTATACTGAAGAGTTCTCAAGGGAAACTATCAGATCTCTAAGGAGAGAAATTCTTTTGCAACCATGTAATGAGTACTCCTCATAATTTATTGGCTTTATTTTTTCTTGGTGCAAAATGATTAAACGGCATGTCCTTGGATGCTCGAGTTATTCAGAAGATAGAGTAAGATGTCACTGAGGGTTACATGTTTATGAAGGCTAAGAAATGCATTGCTAGTCTAAGATTTGTTCTCAATTTCTTACTTGCAAACTCTTAGGATGTCTGAAGAAGTTAAAACATTCTACTTATATTTTAATGCAAATTAAGGCAAAGGAGGAATAATCAAGAAGAGAAAAAAAAAAAAGAAATGATCTTTCCTGCCCTTGATTCTCTCTCTTTCAGTCTCGTCATGGGGTTACTACCCGGGATCTCTACCTAAGCTTTTACAACAAAAACCACACTCAAATATCCATCTGTTCCTTTGTATGCAATCTGGATATGTGGTTCAGCCCAGGATAGTTTTAATAGATCACACAACCCTGAGCTATTTTTGCAGAAAATGGTTATTTTAAAAAGATACTGAAGTGTCACCAGGATGGGGACACGTCTGATGCCCAGCAGCTCTGCCAGCAGAAGGCATGACCCACTACAGACCCAGCTGAGAAAGCAGGTAGTGGTTGCTGCTCTCTGATCCCTCTTCACTGCTCTGTGCTTCTGATGTTAGCATGAGCTCTCTGGTATGCTCTTATGGATACTGACAGGCCTCCCAGGAATGAGCCCCAGGCAAGCTAGAATGCTCGAGGTCATGCATGGCCTTCTGTCTTGCTCTTCACATGGCTCTCTGAGTATGTCACTTCTGGCCTCTCTTACAGTCACTCCTACTTATTCTTTGTGACTCCTGTCATTACTGCCTTCTTTACTTATCCTTTCCTAGCAGTTCTCTGTCACTTTACTCCTGAATATTATCTACTTTCATTATCTTTTCTACCTATTTCTTACACTCTAAATTTTCTTTGTCTTTTCTCCATTTTACTCTAATACATACATTTCCAAGATTTACTGCTCACATGTTCTTTCCTTATACTTCAGTTCAGTGGTGCTCAAATTTTAACAGGCATAAATTCATTCTATGAGAATGAAACTGGTGTGCACATATATTTTAGAAAAGTGGGTTCCTTAGCAACACCAGGAGATTCTCGTTTAGTAGGTTTAGTATTTGTAATAAGCAGTTCAGGATATCCTGATGCAAATGGACAACTAGGCATCTATGTAGACACCAGCTGCTATCATCTTGACTCCTGAGATCCCTTTTAAACCCTTGGTCATCCTACCCAATCATGAGCATGAAAGTTCCTAGTTAAGTTATTCTAATTTTTGTGGGACCAGGTTCTTCACAAATTTTACAGAAAAATAATTTAGAGAAATTTCATTTTGGGGCAACATTTTTTGAAATTCATCCATACCAGGGGTCTTCAAAACACTTTATAAAAATGATTACTCTTCAAAAATGTGCATGCATTTCAAAAATGTTTGCCTCCAAGTACACTTATCTGATAGTTCAATTTAAATGAACACTTCGAATCTCAATCCTTTTACAAGGTACTATTATATTCCATCTTCATATTCATCATTAGTTCCTTTGGCTTCCTTCTCACAGGTTTTTTTTTTCCTTCTAATATTTTTTTACATTCCTTCATCTTTTCCCTACCAATACATTGCCTATATAATCCCCTAAACACTCTTCTGTCACAGGACAGAACCCTAACTCCTGCCTACTGCTGATAAGTTCATCTCCTTTGGAGCAGTTTCATATAAGGCATTAGTTCTTCAGCTAAAGTCTTAATGATGAACATCTTACCTAGTGAGGCTGAGAGATTAATTTTCCATAATAAAAACCAATGTTGATGTCCGGGATGAAATAATATGGTATGGAGAAAAAATCACCATCCACAAAATAATTTTAAGTATACATAAATTTCATCTACCTATTCAGCAGCGTACTCTTAAACATGCCATATATTTTAACAGTTATAGCTTATTAAATGGAAAGTTATGAGTATAATTTAATTATCTAGATAAAATGAATATAGCTAAACACTACTTTATAGTGAGCTGTAATTTAAACTGAGTCCAAGCACTTGAATCACTTGAATCAACTATCAGATAAACCAAAAGACAATATATTTGCTCGAACAAAGCATATTTTAAAGGATATGAATAAATGCAAATCATGTGCAATGTAAATTGAAATTAGTTTCACATTTTCTCTATTGATGGAACAGTTAATTAAAGTATATAAAATATATAAACATATGTGCTTGAATGTATTATATGTTAAAATAATCTGGTTTGATGTATTTAATAATCAATTTAACAGGATACGAACACACAGTGTTTTTTATTAGGGGTGTAATAATTTGGAGATGGCAGGAATGAAATATGCACTCTAATTGCTAGGTAAACTACAATTGAATGAAGGACTTCTATACTCTTGAGTGCATGATATATCTCATATCCTTTTGCTGATTCTCCTTATTTTCCATTCCTAGTACTGGCAGCTCAGTACTTGGAACTCTTCCTTTTTTAAAATTTGCATGTTCTTCCTATGTAATCTCTTTTCATCTCATTGTTTAAATACTTCACTTGTGCCTAGAGTTTTCAAATTCTTATCTCTTTTCCCTGAAGTCCAATAAGTGCTATCATCCAGACAGCTACAACTTAAAAAGTTTCAAATCAAACCTTTTTTTAAAAAAAATTGATTTTATTTATTTGAAAGACAGAGTTACAGAGAGAGGTGGAGACAGGGAGAGAGGTCTTCCATCTGCTGGTTCACTCCCCAGATGGCTGCCAACAGCTGGAGCTGTGCCGATCTGAAGCCAGAAGCCAGGAGATTCTTCCAGGTCTCCCACATGGGTGCAGGGGCCCAAGCACTTGGGCCATCTTCTACTGCTATCCCAGGCCATAGCAGGGAGCTGGATCAGAAGAGGAGCAGCCGGGACCAGAACTGGCACCCATTTGGGATGCCAGTGCTTCAGGCCAGGGTTTTAACCCGCTTCACCACAGCGCCGGCCCCTCAAATCAAACTTTCAATCCTTTCCCAGTTCTCAACAACTAGCTCTTCTGTACTCCACCACAATCTTAGTTTATGGAAAGTCCGTTTCATATGGTCTACAACTCTTTTCTTCATCTCCTACTGTTTGTACAATGTTTCAGAAAACACTACCTGCCTTTCAAAATATGCTCAGAGTCCAGCCACTTACTTCTGCAATGCTTTCGGATTCTCTCATATAAGCACAATCATTTTATTTTTTTTTTAAGATTTTATTTATTTATTTGACAGGTAGAGTTACAGACAGTGACAGAGAGAGAGAGAGAGAGAGAGAGAGAGAAAGTTCTTCCATCCACGGGTTCACTCCCCAAATGGTCACAACGGCTGAAGCCGCACCGATCCAAAGCCAGGAGCCAGGAGCTTCTTTCTGTTCTCCCATGCGGGTGCAGGGCCCGAGCACTTGGGCCATCCTCCACTGCCTTCCAGGGCTACACCAGAGAGCTGGACTAGAAGAGGAG